TATATCTGGGGACTAACTTTAGTCAAGTGTTGTCAACCCGGGATAGATAGTAGATGTAGATGTGAGTCTGGGGAAGTTGAAGATAGACCAAGATGATTCTGGGGAAGATATGGAGAGTCCTTTCGAGTGGAAAGATCGAGGGCATCACCAAGACTAAATATCTGAACTCAGAGCCTTCGACTCGTGCTCAGTCCCTGGGGGAAACGATGTGTCATAGCCCAAAGATGCCCTGCTATGGCGAGCTTGTTAAGTGGCGCCTTGGTGGATATGCACTGACAGGCGGCTCCCGCCTGACTCTGCCATGGAGTTCTGCTCGCGCCCTGGAAGCCCTGTAACCCCTTTGGGCGTGTGGGTTATGGGTAGGTCTGAGGGCCTGGAGACCGCCGAAGGGCGTGCGACCAACAAGGTGGATTCAAAATCAGCATCAGCATCAGCACAGTCTACGTTAGCCCCTGGCACAGTCCATATGGGTGCAATGCGGTGTTACGGTTGGCCAAGAGAATGTTCCACGAACGGTACGCACCAGGCTAATGCTCCCTTGGCATGCTCCAACGTTTCTGATCTGATGCCCATCAGGGACATAAAGCACAGTGTCGCGCAACGTAGTACATTGCGGGTCATCGAGGAGCATGTTGGATCTTGCGAAGTTCGATCGTGGATCGTAGGACCAGGTTTATTCCCCCATGGGTGGAATAGACCAAGTAAACGACGACGGAGTCCTTTTGCAAAGACGCGTACCGACGCTGACCGGTTGTGGCCGCTGGAAAGTTGAAAAGAGCAATCTGCTACATATAGGAAATCTCTTCATATGAGTCCTGGAATGGAATTATGCTGTGCTGTGTCGTGAACTGTGTTAGTTGAACGAAGTGTAACTTCATGCAGCAACCTAGTCTAGCCAGCCATTGTTTTCTTCTGTCCATGCATGTCCTCCTGATCTGTCTCGGCAAAGCACCCGCAGCTCTTTACTGTCTAGACTGTGCACTGAAGATCAGACGGGCCATGTCTCCGAGTGAGTGAGTCTGTTTCTTTCTAGACGCACACTAGCCTCATGAGTTCTCACTCGTGAGAATCGGCGTAGCAGGCCGAAGACCGGCCCGGTAAGCCACAGGGCCTAGAGGGCGCACAGGGTTGATCAAGGGGGGACCCTTTGATGATTTGATCTCGCTAACCTACCTTGATTCTAAACGACAAAAAAGATGGAGGCAACCTAGCATAAGTTAGGATGTCTTTTGCTGAGATTATTTTGACACGCTTCATCCAGATCCGATGTTTTCTTGCTCCCCTAGCCCAGGTAGGCAGTGCCAGTGTTAGTTTTCCTCGGGAACAACTGACGGAAAGGATCGAAAAGACGAGCCGCAACATCAGAAACAGCATCAGCCCAGCAAAATATGATTCGATGTAGCGGCACATGACGCGGCAGAGCACATCACCAGCCTGTCTTGGGCTGCATACGTCTCGTCAGATGCTGATTCCCAGGCAAGCAATTTGTTGATAATCAATGCCGAACTATGCAATTGCCGCAAATCAACTAACACGATGGGATTTGCTAATGCTCATTTCGTGATGATGTGCTTTCCTCGGTGTTGAGGTCTAGGTATCCTCGGAAATCTGGAAATTTACCCAACCTCGGGAATGGCAAGCACAGTATACCATGGCCACGTGCGGCTGAGCAACAGCGCTGATGGAAGGATTGCCAAAGGGCGGTTAGTGGCCCATAGCGCTGCAAATTTCCAGTTCCAGCGCTAGATTCCACTAAAAAAACTTCTCCGGAGAGCCTTCGGGGAGATTGCACGCCTTAGAGTCGTAGAACCCGGCGGGAACAGGAACGGATGTTTTTTCCTACTCCAAGACTAGTAGGTAATGTGTTGGTTTCTTCTTCGGGATATTTCAAGTGGATGCAAACTTCAGCCAACATGACTCCCTCTGAAGCCTTTATCATAAGCGGTGTATGCGCTCGAATGCCCTGTCGAGAGGAACATCAGGTGCTGTTTTACAAGTAAGAACCCCTGTGGGTGACACTGCTAGCAGAGAGAGAAGAGAAGAGAACCAAACGAAACATATCATCCAATCCCTGTGAGTTGTATTGCCCAGAAAGGGCAATTATAGGCTGAGAGGCCTGGCAGGGCCAACTCCGAATGTCGGCCAACGGAAACGAGCGGCCATGGGCAAATTAACATACGAGTATGCATTGCCTACTTAACTTATTATGCCTGAGAGTTCAGTGAGATCAGCACGGGATCAAGCCTCAGTCGACTCAGAGTTCAAGCTTCGTAACTACCGGTAGATGGAATCGGTACAGTAGCAATAGTACATGATGGACTTATCTGATCAAACTCTAGCTATGTGGCTGATCTACTCGGAGATGCTCTCTCTGCACAGTGGGCTGTGAAATTGGAGCTGGATTGGGGTAAAGAATTGCATTCACTTTTGCATTATGAATCATGTGGACATCATCATTTAGCCATGAAAGTCACTAACCTCGATGTTGTCAGTCTCGTCAGTTACAGGCAAACCAAGGTGTGATGATTTCCATTCCATCTCCGGTCCCGGTCCCACTGAACAAAGCCAGGCCTAGAAGAGAGAAAAAGAGAACATTTTGGAGTTCTTTTGAGCTGGTTCCACAATAAGTCCGATCCATTAAGTAAAAAACGGTATGCGGGTGTCACTGATCAAAGATTTACGTATTGGACGCTGCAATTATTATATCATGAAGTTCCAATGCACACGGTGTGGGCCATCCCTGGAAGGGCTATTCCTACTGCAAAAGAACATCAAAGACACAGTGGGGAAATGTCTCCACAAGATGAAGAATTTTTTCTTACAGTCAAGTGGACGTCGTTGACCGTATGTTAAGGTAAGAGAAGCCAAGAGGTGACCGCGGCTGGAAGTTGGCCAATGAAAAACTTATACGCGACAGGTACGTATCCTAATGTGGATTCTTTCCATAAAGCAAATTCCTTCCGTTCAGCTTCCAACAAGTTCCAGGTTTAACGGTGTCATCGGTACCCCCAAGATCCTGGGAAAATCTCTGAGAGAGCTGACCATCTGCTCCCTGACTCCAAAACTAAACCAACTTGGGCTGTCGTTTCTTGATTCAAAACTTCGATCTGGAAAAGAGACCAAGCTTTTTTTCGGGGATGGGTCAAGCATTAGAAACGGATTTCCTTGGATCTTGTCCACCATGACGCCTAATTGGCTTGGGACCTTAGGGGAGATTCAGATCACACACCCCCAATCAAACCGCCTATTGCGGCATCGTGAAGCAATTTTGATCCATCATCAGGGTTCCTGAAAATGAGTCTTTCTCACCATTGCAGGGTTGGATTCACCTTGTTGGATGTCACCGTTACCTGGTGAGAAACGTTCCGTAATGAATGACTGTATCAGCATCAGTGACTGACTGGTCTTGGTCAATACACGTGGTTGAACCATATTGTTCAGTCTGATACACGGATTATACGGACCTATTTTGATACACCAGCGGCATACACATTGACTTCATCATGTTGAGGCAACTTGCGTCACCCACTGTGTCGATATCAAAATACTCGTAATCGAGAACCTAATCATATCGTGTCAAACTCAGACATGAAACGGAACGGCATCACAGCAATGAAATTACCGTGTAAACCGAGTTCAGGGGATCATATTCCATCTTCCTGAACCCTATTCTTCATCAACAACTCCCGAAATATGATGCATAGACGCATAACAAAGCTTCCGGCGCCCGCTTGTTAGCCGCGGCTACTCCCTGCCCCGAGGAAGCGCCAAAAGACTCCCCGCCTCCAGAATGGAACGCTCGCGGAAGTCTCTAGGGATTGATTCTAGATGCCCTCGTCAGCTCGTGTAGTTGAAAGTGGAGCAGCATCACCACCTTGGCATCAGTGTAAATCGCCACAGTTCGAAGTCCCACACACACTCAAGCTCTCTTACTTACGCAAGAGGTCACTGTTGATTCGTTAACTCGTCTTTCATGCCACGTTCTTGTCTAACACGAGATCACCAAGTGCCACTGTGCACACCACCAAAATCGTCGGCCGAGACCGAAGCAGGAGAGCCTCATCTCAGATGATGCGGCTCTTGACTAAAAATTGATTCGATTTGAGGAGCCTCGCTTCTATGCCAGGGTACAAACATATAACGCATTGCCCGTTCCTGAAGATCATGCATCGGTCTCTAGCCATACAGTGCCTCAGCCATTACCTAAAAGTTGGAGCCCCCCCTGAACAACAAGCCAACATTCAATTCGCAGCCCGTGCCCATCGTGGGAAGTCCTTGCGCGTTCACTACTCAGCCCTGTCAGTGACCATGGTACGTCGACATCTCGGGAAGGGCGCCGTCACGATGGTGCAATCACGGCTCAAACCAGCGCAACGTGTTTTCAGGCCTCAGCTTCCAGAATTTGCCGCTGGTCCTCGTTTCTCAATGGCTGGCCTGCAGCATTTTTCAGGTGCGAACAGTTTCGCGGTTAACCAGAAATATTCGCCATTGCTTGCACCATTTTCGATAGACCGTCGCATCATAGAAAACTATCCAATATCGTTTCTTGGCGACCCTTGAACTCAACTGGGAATAAACATTTGCGTGGTAGAAGTTTCGTGCACGACTGTCCTGCTAATTACACGCCTCTAGAAAATTTTCCTTCATTTGCACAGACAAACGCGTGGGCCAGTTTTGAGCCGCACTGGAACAAGGTGCAAATTTACGCTATAATTATACCATTGGATCCTCCTTTACAATGGGGCATGGAGCATCACAAGACGAGTTGAGACTTCAGGTGGATTCGGAACTCCCTTTACAAGGCCCTTTCCACTTCACGACGACCTGGCGGCCCGTCTTGTTCTCTCAGCGTTCCGATGTGAAGCGTCTCATTCCGACAAACGAAAATGCAAGGAGTGTTTAGTACCTAGCATCACGACTCCTGAAACCAATGAATCGAAGCGGTCAGGATTAGCAGAGTCACAAACATGCAATGGCCTTTAACAAAGACCCATCTGGCATCAACAAAGATAGAAAGTTGGGCTCTTGGGCTCCACGGCAGATGTTTTGACGAGATAATTGCAATAAAGCTTGAGCTTGGCTTCAGCACGGTTGCAACCAAAAGCTGCAACGGTGAGCGATCGACGCCCATTAGTCGATGAGGCTCAATTCGCATGAACTTACATCCAGATCGATCGTCACACTCCAAAATTTGTCTTTCGGCGTTGGTCTGAGCTCGGCCGGCAGGGCGGCAGATGCTGTAACTAAGGTAAGAGGTTCGGTACAGTACCCGACAACATTTTAATATGCGGAACACAACTCCGTGATGTCCACGCCTCGAGGCAGTTGGCTTAAACTTGTCTGCCTTGTGAAGTGCTCTCACTTGTCCTTCCTACAAGAAACCAAGCGATTTGGCGGGTTTGAGGCTCCTCTGTTTTCACACCGTGCTTACGGTACCTTGAACCGTATCCTCGCGATTACACGTACACCCAGGGTTGTTTCTCTGCCAACAGTGACCTCTCTGGATGCCAGGGGCCTGTGCGTCATGTGCCCAAAACCTTCGACCGGCCACGTCCGTGCATCAATCGACTGTTTCTTGGGACACTGATGAGAAACGTGCCATCACAAATAGACTTGTCATATAACACTTACATTTCAATGTCTAGCTTAGCCGACAAGATGATATGAGAACACATACGACTTTTCTATTCGCGATGTTACAGAGAGTGCTTAACTTTAGCCGTGATGCCATTTTAGCAATGGGAATTCACTTCATTGGACACCAGCTGGTTTCAATACAATTCTGATGCCACTGGTCTATTTGTCCGTCCGGGAATAAGGTTGGCCTGTTCTCCGAAAGCCACTTCTTTCTGAGCGTTGAACATGATTCCACATGACATGTTTTATGGCTGCTGTTGACCTGAATCGATACAATCACTTGCATTCGTTTATGCCAGACACCTCGATGGCCTCTGAATAGATGATGCGCATACAAAAACAAGCATGTAGTTGTTTCTACGGCGTGCGAAGCAGGACTCCGATCATGTGACCAACTCTACCTCGCAGGTCAATGTATTGTCTGTCATCTGTATCCCAGAAATGGTCTCAGATCCAAATAGACTATATGTAAGACATGTATGTAGGGATTCCAACAATTGCAGAGATAAGGCAAGTGTATGGCCCAATTGCAGAGCTGCCCGGATTTGAAGAGCATTAGCCTTATCTCTGATCATTCTACCGAGACTCAAACTCTGGGGATTCCGGGGTCGAGAGATAAGTTCCCACGCCGGGGAATGATAACGAGGCTTGGGAGATAAGGAATTGCCAGATCAGGCTGCACAAGAGACATTGATAGGTTGAAGCCATATTGGCACACCTTTGGCGCATGAATATCACGATGCTGAACTAGTGAAATGAATGAGTCAAAGTGAAAACCTCTTTCTCCGACAACGGCCTCATCCGTTCACGATGGTGTTTAGCAAATTTTCAAGCCGAAGATGAGAAAAAAAACCTGTGCCAAGCCCAGGTCCTAGTAAAGCGCCGGACTAACCTCCGGGAATAATGCACAGAGCAACAAATCCCTTCCCTACAAGGCAAGTGGGTAACATATCTTCGATCTTTTTCTACCCCAAACGTCATTTCCGCCAGGTCATTCTACGCCTCAAACCCAGAATGTTCTATTTTTGCTTGTGAGGGAACCTCTTTGAGTTGAGGGGTAGACCGTTTTTAGAAGGTCTAGGGGTATCGAGATCGTCAAAATCGGAATTGACCGGTGCACGGGTTGAACACTAGGAGAAGGTTGCCGTGATGGGATGGAAGCTCGAATTGGAGTTACTTGGGGGTTTGGGGAAACGTTACTACTAGAGATGAAGGGGGCTGTGAAGTTTCTAGCCGCCGCCATGCAATAGCCAGAGTCTGAGGTTCGAGGAAAATGAAGAGTAATACCTGCGTCAGATATCCAATGAATTGGATCTGAGCCTTGCAGTAACCTCCAAAGTTTATGACACCATGGCGATACTCATAATCCTCGGATTGCGTAGCCGTATTCTGTTACAAGGCCATATCATGGCGTTTTCCTTCGCTTGCTTGAGGATGAGGTGACGTTCTGTTTCCTGAGGAAACTAGAATGCTAAGATACCTAGTTATATTCATCTGGGAGATTCTACTTGTCAATCCCATGACGTGTCAAATCTGTTCTGTTCACAGCAGGAGTAGTATTTTAGGAAGAGCTGCATCATTAATGGTCTTTCTTAAGCTATATATGAGCTACACCTCGCAGTACAGCTATTGCTCCCTATCACCGGTTTCTCTGCAAACTTCTAGAAGTTCGGGCTTCTACCATTGGTCCTAATAATGGAGCAACCAAGCGGTATAGTAGCTATAGTACGAGGTATCACATGGTGCCTCTCCGGACTCTGTTTCAAATGATCATTGTCCTTGAACTGCGATTTTCTCTTTTGGGCACCAAACACATTGCTTGGGTTGATCTACTTATTGGTGCAGCTGGGTATGTCAAAGGCACAGGCGGAGGTTGATATGGATAACTTTGAAGGTTGGCATGGTACTATTGAAGGCTATATGGTGTCGCTGACGATTGATACGGCATTGTTGGACGTTGCTCTGATACTGCCGGAGGTGAAAATTCCATCGTAGGGGCTTGTAGAGGCTGATTGTGCTGGAACAGATTTGAATTCAGTGCAGCCCAGGCTGCTGTGTAACTCTGGGGGTCAGAACGATGAGGATAATGTCCCAAGCTCTTGGCTCTACGAAGTGTAGGCCTCTGAGGCGGAAATTTGGTGACAGAAGGAGAGATAAACTCCCCCTTGACTTTCGCTTGCTTGGTTTTGGGTGACGAAAGTGATGATGGCAGAGTCTCTGGATGATCTAGTTGTTAGATCGGATATGAAAGTCGAATGTACTGACCTGAGTGCCGCGCACCATCCCATGGCTTCGCTACTCTCCCCTGCTCCACGCCAAGTCTTGCTGTAAAGATTGCAGGACCAAGCTTGTTAGGCTTTATTGATTCTTGGTGTAGAGTCAATTTGGACGATGTTTATATTGAAGAATAGAGCTCGACCTGTCAATGCTAAGATATGGTCTCAGTTTGCAATGATAGAAGAACGTGACAAATATTGAGATATGGGAACCGCAGCTGCTGTTCTGATCTTGGTTCCCTGAGACACAACGGGAAGAGATTTTGCTCATATAGTTAGGTACCTAGGCTTTGTATCAGCTGGGAAGAGCAGATGCTACTATGTTGGCCAACAACGCTCTAGCAGTTCATGACAAGAGCATCTCTTTTATCCAAACCGCATAGGAGAAGCATTAACTCAAGCTTATAACCTCAATCTTAAATTTCATGAATATCTTACCTACCCACCTATAGAGATATCTCGAAATCTACTAAGTTGCCTATATCACTGACCAACGTCTTTTTGACGTGGAGGATGTGAGCACTAGGTTTTCTCAATCAGATTCCAGTCAACTTTCTTTTTGATCTAATAATGAGATACTTATCTGTCTAGGTACCTGGGTATTTCGATGAATGTTTCTTCTCGGACTGTCTATTTAACCTCCAAGTAGTGGCAAAGCATTTGCCAAGTGACAAGCACTGCCAACTTCGGCTTGAGGTTGTAGCAAACATTGACGCGTCACTACGACAGAAAAACAAAGAAGTGCGAGACTTGTTTCTGGATTTCTCCTCTTCCACCATCTTTTGCCCTGAAGGGGAAAATTGTCGTATTCGATTGATTTCTGAAGTGTTGTAACTTCCGACAGCTCTCGACTGGCCGCTATCCAGATGCAAGATGGAATCAACCCAGCAGGTATGATACATTCAGCTAGACCCAAGTTACTCATCTACACAACCCTATTAACTGCATCGTAAGGTCGAAAAGCAGAGCACACAAGAGACTTCTCCCTCTTCAACTCGCGAAAATGTCGCAGACTTGGTTTTCCCAAACTTGACCTCGCTTTGGCTATCGCAAGAGCCTGAAGATCAGGCGAGCCTCAAGCGACTCAAACAGGTTTGGGACATGTTCTCCTCAGGATGGAGCCCTCAAGACAAGATGCATATCTATCGTCTCCTCCCTGAGGTGCGAACTAACCCTACAAACCGAAAGGTCCCCAGTAAACACAAACTCTACAAACACGACATCACCTTCGGACTCTGGGTTATCCTCCGATGCATATACCCTGATCAGAAACTTCCAGCTCTCAGACTTGCTCTCATGGAAAGGTATCCAGGTATAGATCTCAGTGCCTTCACCGGTCCTATTCCCAAGGTTTCCTGCATGACTCCCCAGGAACGCATCCCCAGGAAGCGCGAGCTCAAGGTTGTGACTCCTTGCCTTGAGAAGAACATGCTTGAGGAAGATGATAAGATTAACCCTAGCGGCTTGTCCCTCAAAGAAGAGGATTGCGCTTTTGGTGAGATATGCCATCCAGGACATGGATAATTTGTTACTAATCTCACATTAGACGATACTGTAATCCTTATCCCGAAATTTGAGCCTCACCTGGACCAGATCCGCTCCTCTAAACCTGACAAACCTTCCGCCCAGCGTTTGAAGGAGGTCGAGTCGAAAATGCGAGGCATGGTTCTTGGAGAACCCCACAGTGCTTCTTACAACAACTTTCTGAAGTCAAAGTCCAGCACTGCGCCAGTAGACGTATCTAATTATGCTCCCGACATCACAAAGCTATGCATCAGTCCTAGCGCTATGCAAAAAGCGGACGTTGCATCTTTGGCGAGCGACGACTCTTCTCCTGAGGATGACTCTGCCCAGACTGTACTTTCAAATAAGCAGTTCCTCGAGTTGAAAAATCTCATCACCAATGTTACAACTGAATCGAAACGAGATGTTTTTAGTGAAATGCGCAAGATGCATACCGAGACGACGAAGCAGATTCAGAACATGCACACCGAGATGATTGACCAGTTCAAGAAGAATAGAAAGACATTGGTCGATATTGGTAAACAAGTTGCCGAGATACGAGCACATATCGAACTTGCACGTATGGATCGGAAGGATCTGGACGAAGTTGAGGCCAGAGCCATCAACCTTGAGCAGTTCATCTTGTCACTTTGAGTGTTTCTGTCAAGGCAGTTGGTGTGATCTCAAAACATTGATACATTCTCCGGCCCTATACTGTGGAGAGTGTCTGGGCTATAGAACCAGGGCAAATTGTCAGAAAACAGAGTTGTTTGTGTACATATATGGAAATTTGATCAATGGAGGGGCCTTTGCGGAATCACAGGAGCCCTGCAATGTAACATGTACGTACTCCATACTACCGGTTTTCTCTGAAGGGGTATCAAAAGGCATTGGGCAGCAAGAGAGCAAGAACGGGCGGGAAGTGAAGGCTCTTTGTTCTGGAACCCTGCAGGGCGTTGTTAATCACAGTGGCGTCTGCTAAAGAAAGCCACTGCCTCATGTCTGAGCTCTCATATTTTGAGTCCGGGGAACGGTGACAAGGCCGAGATTGTCGAATGCAAAGTATTTGCTTATCGCAGTCAATAGCTCTACCCCATCTTTTAATCATCCCAACTTGCTTAGTATATGCCATCTGTGGATAGCGTCATGGCCATGCCTTTTTGAGGCATCGTTCATCCCATCGTCCGGAAGCGGAACTAAGCTATGTTAGCGCGACGTTAGTCGAGAGGTTTAGAAACGGGTTCTCCTACGAAGCCTTATTGCCGGAAAGAGCCAGACAACAGGGACTCGGGACCGAGAAAACTATCGATGATGG